GACGAGATTGTTCCAGAATAGTGGCGGGTCGACCATCACCCACAGCACTTGGTTGAGCAGCACCCTCTTCAGGGCAGGATCCGAGAGAAACTCCAGCAGATCCGCGATGTATAAGTTCATGAATTGTGCCGAGCGGGCAAAAGTCACCGACTTATGCAGAGCATCTTGACCGGGTTTCGATGATGCTAGTCTCTCGACGCAATCGGCCTTGTCGGCTCGTTTGGCAATTGACTCGAGGAATTTCTCGGCCTCTCGGCGTCTTCCGACCCTCCATCTCCCTTCAATGACGTTGTAAAAATAGCTGTTGAGTTGTTGCGTCCGGTAGGTCGGGTCGTGGCCTTGGCCGGGTGCGGGACGCGCTGTGGCCCGAGGGCTTTGCACCCCTTCCTCCTCGGTGTGGCATTTCCGAACTATCGACGATGACAATGCCCGCGGTAGATCAGAGTTGTTTCGAAAAGCACTGACGATGAGCTGTGATTTCTGAAGGATCCACGAACAAGAGATATAAGAGATCCAGACTCTCTGGGACTGTAGGGGTATTCAACAACACCGTGAAGGCCGCCGTTTGTCTCGGGCTTCTGACTCCAGGCGTTGGCAGAGGGGCTTTCGGAAGCGTGAGTTGTTTCGAAGTCACTGACGATGAACTGTGATTTCTGAAGGATCCATGAGTAAGAGATGTTTGTTTGTTTGTTTTGTATTTAACGTGGGGGGTAGCTCCTCAGTAGTGCAAACCACGCCTCCCAGAGCCTCTGCATCGCAGGGTTGTGGAGGTCTCAAGATAATAAGTACAGTCAGTCCCGCTCACGGGCCCATCCCCGTTGTTGCGGCGGTATGACCTTGGGGTCATCCATCTGGTCCTTCGAGAAAAGCTATCTATCGGGGACAGATTATTGAAAAGAACTTGCTCTTCTCCACGAATTTTGCCCATTCTGTGCTCCTCTCCCCTAAGTATTGTAAACAAGCTGTCCTAGGCGAGTACCTAGGCAGTAGCCGATTTTTCCCCAGTCTCTTACAAAAGAAAATATGTTGTGGTGTTTTCTTCTCACCACAGTAAGAGATGGAAGAGACGTGACCCCTTGGGACTGTGTGGGTATTGAATTACACCCACCGTGGAGGCCGCCGTTTGCCTTGGGCTTCCGAGTCCAAACGGTGGCCGAGGGGCTTTCAGAAGCGTGAGTTGTTTCGAAGTCACTGACGATGAACTGTGATTTCTGAAGGATCCATGAGTAAGAGATGGAAGAGACGTGACCCTTTGGGACTGTGTGGGTATTGAATTACACCCACCGTGGAGGCCGCCGTTTGCCTTGGGCTTCCGAGTCCAAACGGTGGCCGAGGGGCTTTCAGAAGCGTGCATAATCTCGACCCCCCCGACCAATCTGAATTTACACAGCCCACACACGCGGGATGATTCCATTAGACACGAAGATGCGCCTTTGCGGCTTCAAACGAAATCTTGGGATACTATTCGATGTCATGCTGGCCATTCCTAGACACATCGGCCACAGTATCCGCAATGGAGGCCACAAGCGGTGTAGTCAAAAAGGGGTTCCTCGTCAGAATCATCTGATCCGTCACATGCATCCGTAGCTGATGTGGACAGCGGGTAGGTACCGTCACCCCCCTCATCGTCATCACTGTTCAAACGCTCCTGGCCTGCGTGATCAGGGTGTTGATCATGTTGCCCAGCCCTGATTCCCTTCCAGTGGGTGGGCAGGGCCTCGCGCATCTCTCCGCGTTGCTCCCTTTGTTGGAGAGGTCCCGTGCCCGTTCGACAGAGCTCGAGTTTCAGGTGACTTGCACGCTTCACTTCGGTTACTAGCTGCCGCAGAACCAAGGCGAACCTCTGGAAGTCGAACTGATGCTCGTCTTCCCATTCTCGCAAGTCGTGTTGGAGGGTCAACTTCTGCACGTCTTCAAAGCTTCCTCGTGCGTGATATGCGTTGATGAAGGCCGGAATCTGCCGCATCCAGAGTCTAGGAAGGTGATCACTCTTCACAACCTGCCCTCTGGCCTGAGATAATGTCTTGATCTCGATGATCGACTCCTGGGGCACGACTCTCCCGGCATCCTGGACCTTGATTGAGCCCAAACTAGACAGGTCGGCTATGTTCAAGGCCTGTGGCTCAATGAAAGATGCTGAATCGTTCACGTGAGCTGGGATATGTCCATCGCATTCGAAGCGAACAAGGCAGCCGAGGCCGGCGGAATCATAGGAAATGATTCGCTGATGAGACTTGGTCTCTTCCATATCAGCTCCGTAAGAAGTGAAGTTGTCCAGGAATGAGTGAGCATAGCCACGAACATCGGCAATGATTTGATCCTCGTTGTTTCGAACCAGGAAAAGCGTGTTTCCAACCATCTCGACGTCAAATCTGAAAGTCCAGTCGATCGAACGAGTGGAACGAAGGATGTCTCCGAGGGAATTCGCACAACCCATGATATCGATACTTGAAGGATCAAAGGCCTTGTTCATGGCAAATACGGCCTGGACTGATGGCTGCATGGGATGGTCCGGGAACCGAGCTCCGTTGTGATCACGGAAGAATCGGCCTCGATCGCCCGGCAGCTGAGCAGGCAACTCCTGTGGCTTCCAAGCCGCTGGGTGACCTGAAACGTCATGTTAGTCAACTGGTTGGGTGGATGGGAAGTGCAGTCTAGAAAACTTACCTGGCACCAGGATCTTGGCACGCTTCGTATCTGTCAATGAGTACGAGGCAGCGTGTTTGCAGTTGGTTATACGCGCATCTGCAGCCGAGGTGTCAAAGCTGGTGGCATCACCAGAGCCGAATACTGTGATCAGTCGTCCGAGAGGAGCGTCCACCTCGACGGCGCCCTTGCAGGCCTTGTATTTGCCCCTGTGCCAGCCTGTTCCTCGACCGCGCCATGAACCGCGGAACGAGCTTCCAAGACCTCGCGAGGAGTTGCTTTCCCCCCGCACGGGATTCCCAGAGCCCCGAGCCGAGTTGCGAAATCCCCGAGAAGAGCTCGCACGCTTTCCACGCAACATCGTGTTTGCAGTTGATCAAGGAGTGGGGGAAGGGTTGCCAGTCCAAGTGATAATATAACTCTCTTTCAACACCAGTTGATATGAAGGATCTGGGATCGATGGACATACGCGTAGATCTCATGGGGTTTATGTGCTGCCAATACAAATATCAGACGGCAACACCAGTTCATGTCCGAAGGCCAGGTCACGGTGGTCACCCGTGTCCACTTCGTCCTCGCGAACGCATATGCGAAGCAGCAGGCGTCCATACTGTGAGATATGACGAGGTCGTCTGCGGCCTCCATGCAGCTTCCCGCCACGGATTTCGCTGTCAATCAGCGTCCCGCGTAAACGGCGTGAAGCTTACCATCACACTATGCCAGGACACACACCATGCCAGAACATGATTGACTGAGGCTCTAAGCAACTAAGTCTCCTCTCCAAAGGAAAATTGGACAGATGGGCCAGGATGGGGGAAGAAGTATGACATGAAGAAGCGGCATCAACGGGTTGAAGATGGAACATGAAGGGAGACTGGAAGCTGGGGAAGCTGCCGTCTATCGTCGAAACCACCCCCACCAGACTCGCAGCCTGCAAACACGCACAGTCAATCGGCAGCCCGCCGCCGCTAATTCACCTTGTCCCCTCCAGCTGCGCTCCTTCTCCATGCCCATTGTACAGTGTCAGACTCGCACTCAATCTCAAGACGGTTTTCAAATTTCGATGCAGCGGAAGATCTTCGTACGGAGTACTTTGTGCTGGAGTGAGACATGCTCAACCTGGTGATCGACGACGGACGCATGACATAAGAAAAACAGCACCGGAACGGGACAAGCAAAACGAAGATCGGTCAAGGCAAACGCGAGGCTCCTTGGAGCGTTGCGTCGACCTCCTTGGAGCGAACGGAAGGGCAGAAGTTGCATTGACGATATGCCAAATCACAAATCAAGCCGAAGAGAAGAACATACAGCCGTGTCTGCAAGTTGTCTATGGCTCCCCAAGGGCCTCGTGAAGATAGCCTAGCATCCATCCTATCTCTACTGCGTGCCTCATGCGTCAAGCCTACACCACCGGCCCCATCTCCAACCACCTCATTTTCCCACCTTGCCCTCATACAACACCCGCCACAGCAAACGCAATCCAAATCAGCATAATCCCGTCCCGAACAGCAAAGGTCTGAAACCTTCCGCAAACCACAGCGGAGCTGGGTGGACGAAAGTAAACTGTTTGCTGCCCTGGTCGATAGCTAGAACTGACAGGCTGATCTTGGAGATGACCAGACCATCGGGATCGCAAGCGAAGACCGGTCGTCAACGTCAGGACCCTAAAAAAGGGGTGCGCGAGGGAGGTCCCTGATTTCATCTCTCTTCCTCACCAAGGTCCCTAGTAGATAGATAGACCGCCATGCTAGTTCCAGTGCGCCGCGCGGGAGCTACCTGCTCTCGTCTTGTCCAGCTCGATAGCATCAGAATAGCTTCACTCTAGTACTCAGTCAGGACCTCCCTCAGGCTCAGGTGCTGGGAGGCTACGCTCCATCGGCGTCACTAGAGAATTAGTTCGCGAACGGTGAGTCAATGCGCGGCTGAGATGGATCTTGATTACCTAGGGTGGCAAAGCAGCCAAGGTAGGGATGAGTGGCCCTGGAGCTGTGTGTCTTGATCGTGCCTTGCATTGCAGTAGATGATGATGTGTTCAAAGGTAAATTCGCAACATTGTGGTTCTCGACGCATGATCTCGCAGGTGCGAGGCGCTGAAGAAGAGACATGGCGATCATCACGGGGCAAGTCTTGGAGGAGTGCACGCAGTATCTTGTGGTATTTTAAGCACTCGAATCGAGCGAAGCTATAAGCGCACTTGGGCGCGGTATGGGATATCGTCTCCTGGTCTCTAAAAACGCCTGAACCCTTCCCTATACGATTATGCCAAATGCGCAGCTGTAGTCTAGGAGCCGCAAGGTTGAAGAAGGTAATAGAGTAGAAAGAATTGAAGAGTAGAACAGCCAGCGCCATGGACTTCACCTCCATGTGCTGTGGATCTTGCTTCGCCGACTTCTCGTCTTGAGACCGACGTCCCCATTGACCATCAGACTCTTCCATCTCCGGCCTATGCTGGCGCGGTCCTTGCCAAGATTTCGCGCGCATTCCTGCCAATCCGACTTGGTGAGCTTGAGCTTCTCCAGAACGAGCTCGACTAGTATGCGATCATCTTCCTTGCTCCAGTTCTCGCCATCCGCTTCTGTCTCTATTTCTGTGCCCTCCTTGTTGTCCTCCTCGTTTCCGGCATTAAGGTCGTGGAAGTCGGTTCGATCAAGGCCGAGGGGTATAATCTCTGGCGCAATGCGGGCGCGCTTTGGTGTACTGGGTCGGATGTCGTCTTCCTCTGGCTCTTGTTCGTTGTCCTGATCCAAGCTTTCAATTTCAAGGTCGCTGTCGATGTCGTCGTCGCGACCCATATCGTCATCGGCGGCTCTTCTTCGCTTGTTGGCACCGCGAGGGGGTGCAGCAGCTCGCTTCACGACCTTCTTGCGCGGGATGGCGTCGCCATTGGCATCCTGCTGCTTGCGCGATCGCAGGCGCAGCTTGAGAGGTGGCAGAGGAGCGTGACTCAGCGGTGGTGTAGGCAATTGGTCTTGTCGCGCGGCGCCATTGTCACTCGGGTAGATCAGCGCCGGGGCCTGGAGCATTGACTGAAGCGAGCGACACGAATTGACGATGTTTCCAAATGTGTTCTGTGGGCTGGATGGCGGGCTGGACGGCGGCGAGGCGAAGAGGGCTGATTGGTATCGAGTGGTGGGTCGGCGCGACGAATCGCATGAAAGCGCAGAGGGCATTAACATCATGGCGACGTCTTTGCAGAACTGCGCAGCAGGTACGATGCGTGCGCGAGGTCGCGGTGCGGTAGGAGGAAGTGTGTAGGGTCAGGTGGCGCAAACTCGATGCGAGCAGCTAGCTATGCGACAGGCGGGAAAACGGTCGCGGTGCAATGCGCGTCGCGCGGATCGACGAGAAGATGCAGGTTTTCGATGATCAAATTGAAGGATAGCTTGTAGCGACTATCGGAGCGCACCGCAGACGATGAGCAATGTTGATGTTGATCGAAGGTCGAGGGTCGAGGGTCGAGGGTGTTGTTGGTTGTCTAGGTGCGAGGTGTGCGGGTTGGAATGTAGAAGTGGGAGGGTTGAAGGGCTTTGCGCGGGCGGGAGTGACGGGGTGAGAGGAATAATGCGCCTAATAAGACGGGAGCGCGGCCCTCTGACACTTTGCGCCAGCCCGCCCACCACCAGCAGGCATGACCTGTCCACCGCCCGCCCCAGCAACTTGCAACTGCAAACAGCACGCAAGCAGCACCCGCCGCCCACGGCCCACGGCCCACCCTGCCACCCATACACACCTCAGCCCTGACCAATGTCCTTTGCCATTGGAGTTCAGGGTTGCACGGACGGGCCACATGATTCAGGTCCACTCTGCTACGTACCTGTCTTTTCTTGGTCTGGATCAGGTATAGCAGCCAATGGAGGGATGCGCAGGTGAGCTCTGACCGCCATCGACGTTTTACAGGGAGCATCGACTCTCGAAGGGGGGGCCACTCACACCTCCTTCGAGAATACACTGATACAAGTTACAACATTGAACAGGCACACGAATCCATCATGATCCGTGGTCCAAGTCCAAGATCCCTCTTCCTTCATCACCGCACTACCGACTCCTTCGCCGATGGTACCTGATTTTCCCACCCGCACCTTGACACCTCTCGATTTCGATAAGGGTTGTGTGGGCTTAGTTTGGGCGGCTCGATGGCAGTAGCCGAAGGCTCGCTTGCACTGATCGACGGACCAAGACCCACCGCTTGTGAAGCCGGACTTGAGTCTTTGCCCTCGTTTGATTCCGGCGTAGTACTACGACGCCATTCCCAATCGTGATCCCTTTTCGTGTTGGTCTGTCACCTAACACTAGCACTGGTGCTAGGTGAACTATATGGAGAGGCAGAAAAGCAACTCTGATCTATGACACCTTTGAAGGCTTGCCTCTCTATCCGCTGCCGCCTTTTGCGCCCACGAAGGGAAGATTCGTCTTTCGGGCCGCGAGTCTCGGAAGCAGCTTCAATCAAGAAGTAAGCTGGCGCATGATAACCGTTCATGCCGAGCAAGACAGTTTCACCAGGCAGGGGCATGCCAAGATCAGCACAGGGGCGCCTATTGGTAACTCGTCAACCACTGCCGAGCGCAACTCAGGAGACCAACACACCAGGCACCAGTTCATATCGTCAGCGTCAGCAAATAATTTTGTTATTCCTGTATTATTTTTCCGAGGGATGAGCCACGATCAGGCTGATGGCCGGTGGCCAGGTAACGGTGGCCGATGAGCTATTTTGAGCAAGCTGTCGTCATTTCATCCCATCCATCCTATGGCATCATAGCGCAGACCCGAGGGAAGATGGAGGATGAGTATCAAGATCTCGAGTGAGTTTCTCGATCCCGATCCCTCACTGCCCTCGACTTTACATCCTCCCTCTTCGCATGAAGAATCCCTTCGAAGTTTGGTGAGGGTAATCATCTGACATGTGTCACTCTGAGTCCGCAACCGCCGTGTCCGAAATCACCCACGCCTCACACGCCTCGCCTTTCCCCTCCACATTATGGGAGCCCCTCTTGTCTGCCCTTGCATACTGATAATGCATGCAAGGCGATTGGGGGTGAGGCACTATCTCTCTGCAACACGATCTGATGAGTGATGCGCATTTGCCGGACCTTTTCACGCCTTCGGCCGAACAAGCCAACCCGCAATGCATATGGTATTTTGCGACAGACTGCAAATCATCAACGACCTCAGCAACTGAACCCATGGCCATAGCCTCGCATGTCACTGGTCACATCAACTGGGTGTCCTATCTGCTATGCACGCACTCTATGATAATTCTCCGGTCCGTCACATATGCATCTCACTAGTCATAATGACCCATCGATCGGAGTGCGTGAAACAATTTCTAAAGAACTGCTATAGTGGACAACGAGGTGGGTGGGCGAGAGAGATACAGAGAGACAGAGATTGGAAGTGAACAAAGGGTACGCGGAAAACCTGGCCGTGGGAAACGAAGAAAGTGGGATGACGTCCAGCAGACGCGGCGCGTGAGACGCGACTTCCTCGCGTCACCGCGTTTAATTGAATGCATGATCGTGGGCCAATCATGTTACACGAAGCTCGCCCCCTGCTCAAAACCCCTGTCGTGACCGTGCGCCTATTGGCTCGATGTAACCTCAAACCTCAGAACCCGACCGTTTTTCTGGATCGCAACGTCGTTTGATCTCCTGACCCTCCATGAACCATTTTTTCTTCTGATCGTCAATTGCTTGAAGTCAAGGCAATCATAACCGCGAAGGGATTCAAGTCCTTCTTGAGAGCAAATTGATGGTAACATGAGCTAGGGGCTCGAGCCGGGCTTTGTAGCCTGGATGTGCGGTGGGGCACCTCGGGATGTTTGCGCCACGGCTATCGTGGCATAGGGACGCTCGGCCCTACTAGTTCATCTACCTGTGTAAGGTAGTCACACTTTACCTACTCCCCAATCCACCCTGATGCGCAGCTTGGTGACCATATGCGGGGTAGGTGGTGTTGCCAGTTTGTTCATTTGCCCTCCATCGAAAGCTCTACTCCTATCATGCAGCCAACTAACTACATGTAGGCTTTCTCCCATTCATTCATGCCTGCCGGGGGCGGTTGTACCAGTCACTTGATCCTATAACAGTATCAGATGCTAGAGATATGCCAACTCACGTTGCGAGACAGCTTCGCGCAGAAGAGTGGCTCAGCGGGAGTCACATTTCGAACGTGGCTGCACTACAGAGAATAAATACCGGCATTTCACACTCTGACATGCCTGATGTGTGTAAGAAGGCTCATATTACGATGTTGTCATCTTCTAACCACCACCCGGAAGCAGGGCTTGGACTAGGTTTGAGAGCCTTGCCGCCAGGTAATAGTGGCTTTCAAGCCCCGCCTACTTCACGATACCCTATGAACGTACCGAGCTCAGGTTCACATGGTACAAGACACCCTAAAGCATGCAGACGTACGCCTCCACGCTCCATGTCGACGATGAACCTGCGGGCTTGATTTAGCGTCTCTTATGTCCGGGAATCGGGAGAGCCTTGTTCACCTTCAACACTGTGAGCGATTGGGACTTCTCACTGGGGCAAATTGTCATCTGAACAACCGGTACATGCCCAGACCGAGGCGTGACAAGCACCGGTGATTGCACAAGCATATGCTCCGGCTCAACCAGCACCGTATTCAGACCTAGACATGGTCGTGGTCCCCTACCAAGCAGGCTACCACGGCGATCCGCGGAACCAAGGCGACGCCGTCCCCGGAGGAAGGCAACTGCGCCATATGGATCACCAAGTTGCCGCCATACTGCACCATCGGCATGGCGCTGCGCCAGCTCAGGGGCATCGGCAAGGTCTACGCATCCAACGTCACGCCGGCGAACCACGCCGGAGCTGATAACGAAGTGTTGAGCGAACATTCAACATGAACTGAGAAATCGGCACATTTCGCGCATTCCCAGATCTTCACCGCTGTATCTCGCAGCAGGTGACAGCCAGCAGATCACATATCTAGAGTCCCCCTTATGCCGGAACGTGCATTGCGGCCAGATTAGATTATTTTAAGCGGCGGCAAGCATATGTCTTACATGTCCATGGAAACACTAAGGAGGTAGGTATTCGAGAACCATACTTCAGCTTGCGCATATTTTGGACCGCCTTCCATCCGTGTATTCATGGTGGCGTACGCTACTCCCAAACCATGAATGATGTGCTCATATCACGTATACATACCTCCCGATATATGTACGGACGATCACAGGAAGTCTATCTATTTTACATAAAGCGGTTTTTGCAAGAAGCTGTCACTTGTGAGCCCGAGGGGGTCTTAGTCGCACGTTCGCATCAAGGGATCAATTGTCGGCACCACGAAGACGATTCTTCTTCAGGGACATGCCAAGCGTGTGTAGCCTGACGGTCCGTACTGATGTTGGTAGTGGTTGTCAGGAAGGAGGGGACAGTCACACATGCCTTTCTTTCACTTCTATCCTTCTGCAAGATTGTGGGCAAAACAAAAAAAGGGAAACTTCCGACTTGAGGAGTGAGAGAGCATGAAGTCATCGAGAGGTTGGGTTGTGCCCCAGCCTCGAGCATACGAACGAGTCCGTTCTCTCTCTCGTGGCTGAACTCTAGCCACGTGCCCCCTTCCGGCTTCAGACCGGTCGAATAGAAGAAAGCCACCGGGTTGCGAAATGCTAGTACCCTCATGCCAGAAAGCCGACCTAGACAATACAGTGACCTCGGCTTCTCTGTTCTTTGTCAGTCATGCCGATTGTCGTCCGTAATCTCCCTCGCATCTGACGTGGTGAAGGGTTAGGGTTAGGAGTCTGTTGCTAGCTTGGGAATGTAGCCGGCCCAGCCCCTTTTCCTACGGTAGAACAAAGTTCGCCTCCACGGGGAATCTAACCAATCCAGTGGGCGTCGCATTTACTTCTAGCTGTGTGCAAATTCGCTGTAGACCGGTGTATCTTGTATCCATCTCTTACACAATGCACTTAGTACACATCATGTACATCATAGCAAACACCGTTTGCGTGGGGTCCAGAGCAATTATGCGGCAATCTGCAGGCGACACAGGCAGTCGCGTTGGGTGATTCGGCCCATGAGTGCGCCATGGGACGGACGCCTTGTACAGCTTGCCGCACCTAACAAGCCGCCTCACTAATGTTCCCCGCCCTTAAGGTTCCCTCGAATAGGTATTTAAGTAGTAAGTGTCCTCCTCTTAAAGCGTCCCC